CCTGGTAGCTGTCACAGAGACTTGGTGTTTGCTTTGCATAATGGAGCAGATCTTTCATTTTCAAATGAAAAGCTTAATAATGGACAGATAGTTCATCAGTACAACTCAGGTCAGTATAAATGATTGAAAAATCAAAGTCTCCTCTGAGAGGTGCCAAATCAGGTCAAACCCCAGTGTTCTAAAAGGTGCCTAGTACTTGAGCGCATGCTTCAATATGCTTTTAGAAACTGTAGGCCCTAATTCTCTTCTGTGCTTTTGGGGTGGCAGTTTTCCTGTTGTTTCCATAATTGTCTATAAATCCTTTCCCAAGTGCTCCTCAGAGATAAATAACTTGTGATAAATTTCTACTCTGGCCAGATACTGAGCTTGTTTTAAAATATCTTGTAGTAACAACTTTCCTGCATTTTTTTAATCTCATTGCAGTGTTGCGTGTTTTTAAGACAGCCAGTTGGGACTTCAGTGAATTGTTTGAATATTACAACAGTCAGGTTTGGTTTTGGTTTGTTTTGTTTTTTTTTTTATCTAAAGCTAATTAAATAAGGATTTGCTTTTTAATATTTTCTTAATGCAAATCATTGCACGTGTGCTATCTGGTAAGAACATGCAGTAAAAATGAAAATCATGAAACCAGTAAGCTGTTTGGAATTGATGTCTTTGACCAGAGTTCTTGCCAAAATAGACATGTATAGGTTTATCTGCTTAAAGGTTACTTGTTAAACATTTTTGTATAAACAGAACTTCCTTGTTTAAATACAAAGGAGGAATTCCATGGATATACTGCTTTAGCTTTGCAATCTGTGCAGTAACCCATTTTTCAGCTAATGATTTGTGAAATGTGTCATAGCTTCTATTCCGTACTCTTCACCCACTGATAAACTTTGAATTTCCCTTCAGTTGTTTGTGCCCATCTGTTTTTCATGGAATGAAGCAGCTATTTGGCCAGCAGTACTCATGCAGCAAGTACTTCCCACAGGGCTACTCATGTACCCTTCATTTTTCCCTCACCTCCCCACAGCTCAGAGAAAAGCAGCTTTGGGTCTGCTTTGTGTAAACTCTCCCATTTTAGATGGTTTCTTCTCATACATGAGTTTGAGAGCTGAGCATATTCAGAGCTGGGCTCCCACCGGGGTCTTGCTTATCTGGGATAGGACAGGGATCTGCAGGGGAAACACGCTGCAGCCCAGTACCTGGGACCTATAGAATACCTGTGGGATGCAGCAGTGATGCCCTTGGTTCCATGGAGCTGTGTCTGGGCTGATCTGTACCTCTTGCATCCAGCTGGTGCTGGGGGAGTACCTGCTCTGCTTTTTTTGGAGTGTGCTTAGAGTTACAGTGTTTGGTTTATTCACATTTTTATTAGTTTCTTATTCTCAGCTGATCATCTTTTTTTCCTTTAGAACGTATGGGGAAGGCATCTGTTGAAGTGTACAATCTGATACTTGCACTGTCCACTCTTGTCACTGTGCTGTATGATGGGATGGCCATTGTGCTAAGGGAATATTGGCACTGCCTGAGCTTCAGCTTCATGCTGACCATGAGGCCAGTGCCTGATTTCAAGAGAGTCCCTGAGTGTCTCTTGCACAGAGGAGCTCTGTTTCCTGGCTTAGCCCCAGACCTTTCCACCCTAAACCAGGCAAGGCTGCAGGTACTGCTCCTACACGGAAACCCAAGCCTCATTCCTCCTCACCACTCAGCACATTTCCCAAGAGCACAAGAGCAGTTTTGTCCTCCTCTGACTCCATATTTCATATCTTGAAACTTGTGAAGAATATAGTATTGATGAAGGGCAAATGATAGGAGTTAGAAATTAGATTTCCCTTTAGAAATGCTCCTCCAGATGGCCTAGCAGAGCTTAATGACTGTTTCTGATGACGTTTCATGTCTTACAGCATCAGTACTTGTGTAGTAGAATGTTACAGCCAACCCTCTCCCTCTTCATCATGACCTGGTGACCTTGATATGGGAAACAACTTCAGCATAGAGGCAGCAGCTGTGCCTCTGGCCAAACTAGCAGTGAGACGTGATCCAGGTCCAGAGAGATGTGGCAAAGCAACCACCACCAGCAGCTAGACAAGCATTCTGGCAAGATCATACATGGTCATTAAGATGAACTGCTTTACTGGGGCATATTTCCAGCAGCAAACCTTGCGACTCTTCCCCCTCTCATCAGTGTCTATTTTGGCATCAAAGGGTGGTTGAGGCACAGGGCACTAATGCAGATCTGGGGTTGGGTACAGTTCTTTGGAGTCTCCAGCAGAAAGGATCAAGAAGCTCCATTCAAGTGGGTAGACTCGTTATTTTTAATAAAAGTGGGTGTTTTGCAAAACCGGCCTCTGGCCCATCTTTCTAGTAGTCCTACACTTAGGAGGTGTCCTTGAAAGGAAGTTAAGAGAGGGTAAAATGCAATGCTTTGTTCTTTGCCTTAGCATTCCTAGCAGAATTTTGTATGTGCCTCTTCATAATGCAGGATATGTGCTGCTCTGATTAATTTTTATGCTTCTGATTATTCAGTACTGCACATAAACAGATGTGCACATAGAAAAGTGCCCCCTGGTAATGAGGAACTGTTAAGCCATATGGCATGTGAAGATGGAGTATTACAGCTATGGGATGAAAACCTCCTGTTCAGGACTAGGTTCACATACAGCGAGTATCATGTTAATACATTCTTGCCAATGCTGTCAGCCCCTTCATCTGGCGAGTCAGCCCAAGTGACAGCATGGATTTCTGGAGCCTTCCTGCTTTGCTGAGGTCCTGCTTCTGTTAAAACACTGATGAGAGCACATCTTCCATTTGAAAATCTCGTAAAGATACATGTGAAAAAGAGGAGTGTGGCCTGAGCTGTCTGTACTGCGCTGCTCTTGGATGTTAATACAGCAAAGATGTAGTTGGCCCTGTTGCATGTCCAGTGGTTTTTCTTAGCCGGAAAGATCGATGGTATTGCTAATGTGGTTTTTGTGTTCTTGTAGCTAGTAACCTTTTATTTAGCTTTATATCCCAGTAACAGGATGAGTTCAAAAGGCTTCACTTATCAGTTACAGTGTTGTTAATGACATGCTCTGATGTTGTGTGCCTGTTGCTGCTGCGAGCCATCAGTCTATAATACTGAGCACATCCACCATATGCAGTAAAATAGAGCTTTCCAGCATTGTTTGCCATTATGAGTAATTATTCTGAGTAATTAATATGAGTTTGTATCAAGATAGTCCAAAATGTACCAGAGCTGAAAACTTCATTGTGAGAGTAGTGATGCTCCATTCCTGGCAGTGTTCAAGGCCAGGTTGGACGCAGCTTGGAGCAACCTGCTCTAGTGGAAGGTGTCCCTGCCTGTGGCAGGGGGGTGGAACTCTGGGCATCCACAACTTCTCTGGGCACCCTCTGCCAGCACCTCACCACCCTCATAGTGAAGAGTTTCTTCCTAATGTCTAATCTCAATCCCCCCTCTGTCAGTTTAAAGCCATTCCCCCCTTGTCCTGTCCCTACATGCCCTTGTCAAAGCCCCTCTCCAGGTTTCTTGTCAGGCCCTTTAGGCACTGGAAGCTGCTCTAAGGTCTCACTGGAGCCTTCTCTTCTCCAGGCTGAACAACCCCAGCTCTTGGTGCATGCCCCTGTAAGGGAAGACAGCTTTTCCTACAGCTCTAAAATAAACTTCATGCTTTTCAGGACTTCTTAGTATTAGTACTAAGTCACGGTGAATATTGCAGTGCTCACCTTTATCTACTGTTAACAAAGAAGTAAACAAGACCTCCAACTCCTTGGACAGCCAACAGTCATAATTTACAGGGCATTAAACTCACAAACTGCTGTTCTTTCTGTAAATTTCATGCTATTTAGCTCTTTGCTGAGTGGGCTGTACCAGAACAGTCCATGTGTGTTCCAAGGGCATCATTTTATGTATTGGCAAGCCTGAAGATGTCAAGTTATGTCATTTAAAGCAGGATTGTCCGTTGCTGATCCCTCAGGTCATGGCAACAAGGTAAAAGCAGAGCCTTGGCTTGGTGGGCATAGTTTCAGTGCTTCTGTGGCCCCTGCTCTCCAGGCAGCTCCAGCACACCAGGACACTGTATTCAGAACCTCTTCATCCTTTGTGCGTCTTGGGGTTTTTGTGGTTTGGGGGTTTTATTTTTGAACAAACGTAAGTACATAAATTTCCCAGGTTTTCCTGCTTTATATTCTAGCAGCACACAAAACTGGGAGCTGGATATCAAGCAAAAGGCACTTTGCTGTGTGCCCCCCAACGTGTATCTGGAGCACAGACCACTCGGTGTGTTTGTGTTGGACACATTTAGTAACAGGCTGTAAGCACATGAGGCAAACATTATAGGAATGTAGCATCTCTCTGACATCCTGACTTGGACAAGGATCAAATGAGGAAAGTATGTCAGAATTTCTCTGCTCAGTATCTCCATGCTGTATAAACTGCCAGAAATGTGTGCTTTTCTATGGATACAGAGGTTTTATGATACTCTTATAGGTTTTGTGTGGAGGGCTGCAGGTGTAAGAGTGTTCCCTCTGAACCACTTTCAAAAACAAGTGATTTGGTGAGTTTTTAATGCTGTACAGGCTGTAATAAATGACAGTGATCAATTTTGTGCTGGTTATGTGCTGGCTGTGATGCTGTGTAGTTACCTAGGGAGGCCAGAATAACTGCTTGGGACAGAGCTGTCTCTTTCATCTGGTAAGGAAAGCTCCCCTTCCTTCTCTAAAATCACAGCCAGATCTTTGCTGTGCCACTAGCTGGGACCTGGCCTCCCAGCACAGGTGAGCTGCCAGACACAACTGGTGATGGCAAACTTTGTGCAGTTCAATCCCCAAAGGAATCCCCAGACATCTGCTTGCCAAGGACTAGAGCAATTGCCCGAGTTCTCATGCACAACGTTGGAAACATTGATGGACACTTGACCCTATTGCTTGCTGATGTGGGCATCCACCACTATTGCAGCCCTATGTGAGTCCCTTTCCAATATGCTTGGGGTAATTCTGACTGTGCTTCCCTCTAGGAGGACTTTCGGAATAAAGTTGAAGATTACATTAAGCGCTATGCGAGATGATGAAGGGAGATGAATGGCAGGACCATGGCTTCCACACTGGAGTTATCCTTACCTTCAACAATAACAACAAAATCAGCCTGGATTGTACTAGTCCTGTGTCCATGTTGTACTGAAGAAGAAAACTAACTTAATAACTTACCCATGTTAAAAGGAGAGTTCAACATAAATACAGCAAGAAATTGTGTATGTTGGGTGAAAAAGTTGTTTGGTTACTTTTAAAAATGTTTACTCTTCTGAACTGTACTGTATATCCTGTTGATGAGATATGCTTGAGAAGTTAAAAGAAATCACTATTGAAATTGTAATTACACTTTTTTTTAACTCTTGCCTAGTTTGGAGGGGGGAAGATAAAAACCCAACCAACCAGATGAGGTGGCGTGCTTTTAGAACACTTCAGGTTGGCAATAAAATGGTCTCTTGTGAACCAAATCACAATCCTGTTTGCCTTTGATGAGCAGAAACAACAAAGAAACAAAAAAGAAACAAAAAAAGAAACAGAAAAGAAAAAAAAAAAGCTTTCTCTACCAGTCATTCACTAAAGCTTAGAGCTTGCTAGAATGCTAGTGCTAAATGAAATTCTACTTCTGGTATTGAAATTCTTGATGATATTTAATGTTAAGGATGTTTTTGTTACACTTTTGGAATTCTCACACTGTTATTTTCAGCTCCTGCATGGGCTACAGTATTTTTCTTTTGTTCCTGTTCATTGTGTGAAGTAGTTACAAGAAATACAGGCTAATCCCTAATTTAAGTAAATGTGTAGTATTAGTAAAACTATGTACATATATAAAATATATATATATTTCTGTGAAAATATAACAAAAGGGGGATTTTTTTTTTTTTTTGTAAGAAATCTGCCTTTGGCTTTCCAATCTGGATGTGGTGAGGGAGCATCAGACACTGATCTGATGAAGGTAAATTCAAGCACCATGATCTAGAGAATACCAAATTGTGTTCTTCAATGTTCTGCACTGAAAGGGAATGACTAATAATGCAGCTGAGAACAAGAACGCACTGCACCTCTGAAACATTCCTGCACACCTGGCTTTCTTGGTGATTAGAAGGGATATGATGCTATAATTGCCTTCTCTGTAAGTAGCTGTATATCAAACACAGTATGTGTGTGAGCAGAGATCCTCCACAAGAGAGTAGCATGTACCTCAGGAATCACTTCAGAGTAAACGCTGTGAAGAGTTGCTGCCTGGTGTGGGCCAGAGCTCTGCACTGCTCCCCTGTGGATCCACTTGTGGGGTTACACAGAGGAGGTGCAATGGAACCAAGTCAAGCTTTTATAAATAGAAAAACCATAGAAATAAATGTTGGTGCAGTTTCATACAGAGCAAGTGTATGTGTGTAGTGCTCAGGTGTTGATGGTTTGTTATCCCATTATTACACTTTATTCCTTCCTACTGTTCCTCTGCAGACACTGAAGGAAATCAAAATTTATCTCCATCATTGACATGGCAGAGCTGGGCTGCAGATTTTAAGCACGGTGCCGCCTTGCTTAAAGGTTTAAGTTCTCCCTGTGCCTTTTCTCTTACAGCTTCACAGGCTCCTGTAGCTGTTACTGGAGGTCTAGGAAAGCAGATAAATTAAATGCAGGGATTGGCATGCAGGAGGAGAGCCTTATCGTGAGCTTCATCTTTGGGTTCTGTTGCCACTGTGGCTAAAATGAAACATGGATCAGGATATTATTTTAAGCAGGCAACTGTGTGAGAGATCTTTGCTGCCAGAATAGTAATGTCAGGGAAGGCAAGGGATAAAACACTCACAAAAATAGAAAGATTGGAAAATAGGTATAGATTTTGCTTGCCAAGTCAGATGTTTTTTATTCTTTTCAAGCTGAAAACGCTGAACCAGTTTGCTGTAGCAAAGGTGAGTGTTCCTTGCTGTAGTGGCACCCTGGTACTGTTGTCACCTCCCATCCTTCAACAAAATGGTGAAAGTCCCTGTTTCTTGGCTGTCATCCATGTCACTCATGCCTTGAAGCCATGGCAGTGCAAACACAGGGTGCTGCTACTTCGAGCCAGGAGGAGCTGTGTCAGGGAATGCAGCAGGTTTGGGTTACAGTAGCTTGTGTGAGCACAGAGCCAGAGGTGCTGCTACCAAAGCCAGTACCCCCCTCCCAGTACAGCCCTGCTGTATAATCCCAGCACCATTTTCTTGCTTACTGGGAGCAGGTGAGCAGAATATTGAAGTTTGGATATTACTACCTACTGTAGAAGGTGGCTGAGCAGCGTTTTCTTCCCATCCAGAATACATGGGCAAAAATGTTACACCTCACCCTCATCCTAGAAGAGCCCATCAGCTCATGGCCTGGGAAAATAAACTGAATTATTCTTTTCTGAACACAAGAAGCTGTTTGGGGGGTTTCTGTTTTTGTATGTATTTATATATATATATATATATATATATATTACATCTGTATAGATGCAACTAATTTATACTCTTTCCAGCCACCCTTGATTTCTGCCTCTCACCAAAGCACTAAGCTGAGCACTGCCAGGGGTATGTTTCCATCTAGTCTCCATCCTGCGCCCCCTACGGATCTCCTGCAATGGTAGAAGGCAAAACTGTATGTCCCCAGAGTGTCACCTTTGCTCATGGCCAGTTGGTGGATGGAGGCTCCTGAGCCAACAGTGCTTGTCCAGGAATCAGCTGTTGTAACGTCAAGGCAGTCTTTGGAACAATTTACTGCTTTTTATTTTCTTATTTGGGTTTTGGTTTTTAGTTTTGGGCTTGGTGGGGCTTTTTTTTTGCCATTTATTTTTATTGTAGGCAGGTTATTTTCCAGAAAGCCTCTTCCTGGAGAAGGCTCCGGGGAGACCTTAGAGCAGCTTCCAGTACCTAAAAGGGTGACAAGAAATCTGGAAAGCCACCCCAAAGACTGCCTATGGGGTGGAGGTCAATATTACTGAAGGGGAAGGTGAGGGGGGAGCCTCCAGGATCACCGAGGCTGCTTTAGGGCAGTGAGGGGAGGTCCTCTCAGAGGGAGTGAGCGCTGAGACTTCACACCACAGGTAGGCACCTGGTTTATTCATGTGTTTATTTGGGTAGGAAAAGCACCTTATTCCCGTTGCTCATTAGCGCTGCCAAGGCCACCTCCACCACCTCCCACTGCCACCCTTCAACCATAGCTCCCCATCTCCAAGGCAAAACCCAGCCTGTGCAGACACCGGCCTCATGCTGGGGGAAAAGATGCCTTTCCTGGTACAGAAAACAAGGACAAAGAGGAATCCGTGGTGGTCTCATTGCACCCAGACCCATTGGCCTTGTCATTACCTCCTCATGCCAGGCAGGTGGCACACTTGTGGTGCAAAGGAGGAGCTGTGGCACTGGTGAATCTGCCTTCAGGGCTTTGTACCCCCCACTGATGCTCCTCTGCCAAGGTCTTCCAAAAACCAGACAGTCCAGAGGTGGTCCCTCCCCTGTCCCAGTGGCAGGGTGTCCCTACACAATGCCCTCACTGCGTTTGCTCCTCCATACCACCAGTGCGGTCATCAGCAAGGTGATGAGGATGGGCAGCAGGATGAAGGGGCAGAGGATGCTGTTGGGGGGGTCGTGCAGCGCCCGGCCGGAGGGGGAGCAGTTCCTGAAGTACTGTTTGTGCACGGCGACGAAGAACTCGTCCACCAGCCGGTTGGGCCAGTAGCAGTCAAGCCTCTCTGCGATGAGCGCCGTGCAGTTCGTCAGCTCCCCATAGGTGCTGCAACACAGACAAGGGCACTGCGGTGGCACCAGGGACTAGCACCCTGACAACAGCACTCCCCCATAGCGTATAAAATGTTAAATACTTTCTGTTATGGATGTGTTTGTTACTTGAGGAGAAGGCTGCCTGGAGACCTCCCAGCAGCCTTCCAGTATCTGAAAGGGGGCTACAGGGATGCTGGAGAGGGGCACTTCATTAGGGACTGTAGCAATAGGAGAAGGGGTGATGGGTTTAAACTTAAACAGGGGAAGTTCAGGTTAGATACAAGGAAGAAGTTCTATACTGTGAGGGTGGTGAGGCGCTGGCACAGGCTGTCCAGAGAAGCGGTAAATGCTCCATCCCTGGCAGCATTCAAGGCCAGATTGGGCAGAGCCTTGGGCAACATGGTCTAGGTGTCCCTGCCCATGGCAGGGGGCTGGAACTAGACAAGCTTTAAGGACTCTTCCAACCCAAACCATTCTATGATTCTATAAGTAAATGAAAACAGAATTAATATTTACAGAAATAACTAGAAGAAAGGGTTTGGATTTCTCTTTTTTTTTTTTTTTTCTTGGTTTGGTTTGGTTTTGTGCGTTTTTGCCGAATTTCATGGCCAGACTAGTGCTATCAGAAAATACCACTTGTACCCACATAACCATCTGGCACCTTTAGGGGAAGCCCTTCAGAAAACCCATCCTGAGCAGCCAGCAGCCAGGCAAGCTGCTCTGCTTTCAGGGCGATGGTTCAGCCAAAAGGGGACAACAGGGAGTACATCAAATCTACTTAAAATTCTCTCTGAATTGCCTAAAAACAGGGGGGTTGCATCTGAACCAAGAGCATACACTTCTGAAGCTCATCTCTTTGCCCTGCCTTATTCTGCAGGTCCACAGGACCACAACCCATCCCACCTCTCACCGGGCAGCACATCCATTTTTTTTGAGGCTATGGATAAAAGCGTATATAGAACTGTTTCTTTCCCCATGCAAATTAGGCCTGATGCTGCAGAAGCAGAGCAAACCAAACCCCAGCCAGCCAATTAAAAACCCACCTGGGGGAACAAATACTTTCTAAGCAGCTTCCCAGCTACTTGCTGCGGATTCTGCATCTCGTCAGTAGGGTTTCTGGGCTGGCAGCAGTTGTCTTTGCTGTACTCATTGGCACACTGCAGTGCTGGAGGAAACCCCCTCATTTAATTAATAGGGCACCTGGAGCTACTAAAAGCAGCTTCTGCTCAGCATCCCAATATGCCAGATTACCATTTCCCATCCATCAGCATCCTTAGGAGATCTCGAGAGCCGAAGCATCGTCAGGAACCAGAGGGGGAGCGATAACAGAGAAGCTATTTTTAAAACTGAAGGGCTGTACAGCAGCTGGCTTAGCCCTTCCCCAGCTCAACCCGTGCTTCTGTGTAGATAAATACCTGCTTCCACCATTCATAGGCAGGGAGATTGAACTGGATGAGCTTTAAGGTCCCTTCCAACCCAAACCAGTATGTGACTCTTAGATTTTCTGCCCTTTGCTCACACAAAGCTCACACAAAGACCATAGTAGTTTTATGAACAGCCAACTAAAAGCAAAGCCAAACTCTGCAACGTAGCTGGGTGTTTTGATTTCTTCCACTTTATCTCATAGACCCTTTCCCATCCATCGACATGGGCTGCCAGCCACCACTCAGGCCATCCCTTGCCAGCTGCATCTCGTGGTGTTCAGGCAATGGTCCTGCAAGACTTGGACCACCTTCTGTCCTCGCATGCAGAGCACCCAGACACATGGCATGGAGAACCTTCTCCCTACAGGTACATTACCAGCTACCTCAGAGGGGTACCAAACGGATATGGATATATATCCCATTTGCTGAGATATGGATATACCAGACTGGTCAGGCCCAGGCTGCTGCTTGCAATGCCTTGTCAGAAGGGATCAAGATCCCACTGGAGAGAAGCAGTGTTGATGCCAGGGGCTGAGCATGCTCTTCCCTGCCACAGCCACAGTGAACATTCATCCCGGTGTGTCTCCAAAGCGGCATCTGGTTCTCTCCCTCTCCCCATAAGCAGAGCCACATTATGATGTTAGCACCACACTAGCGTGGTCCCACTGGAAATTCAGCCTGTTCCAATGGTGGAACATTTCAAGGGGTTGTTTCCCTACTCAGAATGGCTTCCCCTTGCCATCCCTAGCTCAGACCAGGAGAGCGAGGTCCCATCACCACACTCAGCCAACCAAAGCTGAGCCAAACTCTGGGAGCTGCAAGGATGATCACTCTATTTCTGGGGTCCAGAAAGAGATGTAATCCTCAGGCAGAGACTTAAAACTCTCTTTGGAGGGAGGGTAGAGTCAAGCTTTTAGCTTTCAGACAACCCTACAGCTCATTTGAAAGCCTCCATCTCCCAAAACACCATCTTCAGCTGAGAAAAGGCACAGACCTTCCAAAACAAACCCTCCAGAGATTATACCCTTGCAAGGAGGAGAAAAGCACTGCCAGCAGGGTGCAGCTGGGACCACCCTGGAGAGGATGGTGAGGACAGAAAGCCAAGTCAGTGTCATGTGGGCATTGCAATGCCTGGCAAAACACTTAGATCGTTTTTGGGGGAGGACCTAAGAGATCTGAATTCCACCAACCCCAAATCAGAAGTGGTGGGCAGAGAAACACATGCATCCTGTATCCTTTCCTCCCTCGCCCCACAGACCAGGGGCTGGCTGTCCTCCAAAACCAGCCTTATGGCTGAAAGCTGGGGGTTAACCCCAGAGCAGATCCCTGGCTCGGCTTCCAAGAAGCTCCATGATGGAGCCTGCACCATGGCATGTCCATGGCCTAGTTCAGTCAGGATAAAAGAGTCCATAGAAAAGCCACCGGGCCATGGACCTGCACCATGGCATGTCCCCACTGCTCTGCGGAGCAGCCAGAGGATCTAAGAATGCAACATCTAAGGATGATTGCCCCCAGATTCCCAACCTGCCTGGGAGCAAAAGGAAGCACGTGATTTTAATGCTGCTTGCCAGGGTCTGTGTATAGGAGGTGAAGCCCAAAGCTTACGTGCCATGTGCTATTCATAACAGCCAAAGCCAAGCTGCAAAACTTGGCTGGCATCAGAGGAGTTAGTTAAGATGGTATTTGGAACTACAGGATGTCTTTCCATTTGGCGCCTCTGCCTCCACGAGAAGGTATTTGAAACCCTTGCCACTTGCAAGGAATGTACAGAAAAAATCCTGGGCAGAGCGCTTGGGTTGGTCCAGCTTCCCCCAACCTGGAGGATAACTTCGAGGAGAAGCATCCCTAAGTCATGCTCCCTTTTCCCAACCAGGCTGGGGCTGCTCCGGGATCTTTCCCAGTGCCAAAAACTGCCTGCAGCCCAGCGACTGCTCCCAAAGGAGCAGCAGCTCTCGGGGACTCACCTGAGCTTTGAGATGGAAGGATACCCATGGCTGGAGGAGTGCTGAGTGTACAGGGTGTCCTCAGTGATGGTCAGCATGTCCCCAGAGACCACCAGATGGGGAGAGAGGGAAAGGAGCAGCAGTCTGCATCCACATCACCTCCCTCTTCTTTCACCTCTCCTCTCCCTGGCTTTGCCTTAAATAGCAACATCTGAAATTAAAATGCCTGAAAAGACCAGCTTTCATTACTGAAACAAAAATAAAAATTGGGATTAGTTTGCTGATGTAGGAAGCACTGGGAACAGGGCAGCTTATCCCAACCCATCCACAGTCAGTGGGCAGGGAGACAGGCAGCCCTCCCTGAGGGGCACAGCTTTGCTTAGCTCTAAATATTGTTTCTCCTACCCAACATGAACTGCAATTAAAACTGTTTTCCTTGTTGCCATGGAAACAGTTTGGATTGAAAGGATGCTGCAGCAGGAGGCCAGGCAGTGTGGGGACCACGTGGGGATGAACGCCCACAGGCAGACTGGGCTGGGCTGCTGGTGGGAAGCAATCGAGGCCTGATTTACAGTTTGATGGGGTCCGAATGCTTACCCTGCTGTAAATCCTAAGCAATGCCTCTGGTTTTGTACCACTGCAACCCAGACTGGAATTTGATCTGCCATTTATTCCTTGCCAGTGCCTAGGTGTGAACAGTGTTACACTGGAGAGACTGGTTGGTGTTCACAGGATCACCAGCTCTCCCCTTTTGCCACAGGTATCAAGATTTTTCCTATCCTCCCCAAACCCCTTTGCTTCAGAAGGGAAAAAAAGCAGCCTTACAAACCCCAAAACAACACGAGTCTTTCCTTTTGTGTTGTAAATTAAGAAATTGATTTCTTCCTCTGCAAAGCTTCAGGGCAAGCTTGCAGACATGCTAAAGGGATATCCATCAGGGACATAGCAACCTGAAGATAAATAAGTAGATAATGAGATAAGAAGAAAATGGGTCAATCTGTTTTCTATAGATAATGGGTAAATAACCCAAAGACAGCGAGTGTAGTGACAGCTGTAAGAGCAGCCCCTAGCCAGGGGTAGGAGTGGGACAGGGTACCAGGACCTGGCAGCATCATCCCTCATTTCTGGTGCTGCCTGCAGCTGTCAGCCTGCACGCTCATACTGGGCAGCTCCTTCCCCACAGGATGAGGGGAAAGCATTCCCCTGAAATCTTTCGGCATGCCACAGGGCAGATATATTTGGAATGAAGGCGCCTGGCTCGGCTGGAGTGACTCCTGCAGCTGCGGCACCGCTCAGCAAGGCAAAAACTATTTTTCAGGAAAACAAAACCTTTTTTGCAGCAGGACAAAAACTGCAGAAAAGCTACTGAGAAGTCATCAGCTCCTGCTGGTCATGGGTGAGTAGCCGGCAGCCCAGTCCCTCCTGCAGTCTCAATGCCACATAGAATCATAGAACCATAGACTGGTTAGTGTTGGAAAGGTACTTAAAATCATTTAGTTCCAATCCCCTGCCACAGGCAGGGACGCCTCACACTAGACCATGTCACCCGAGGCTCTGTCCAACCTGGCCTTGAACACTGCCAGGGATGGAAGATTTACCACTTCTTTGGGCAACCCATTCCAGTGCCTCACCACCCTCATAGTACAGAATTTCCTTACATCTAAGCTGGACTTCCCCTGTTTAAGTTTTAACCCATCACCCTTTGTCCTATCACTACAGTCCCTGATGAAGAGTCCCTCTCCAGCATCCTTGTAGGCTCCCTTAAGATTCTTGAAGGCTGCTATGAGGTCTCCATGCAGCCTTCTCTTCTCCAGGCTGAATAGCCCCAAAGTAGCTGTTCTGAGAGAGACCACAGCTAACCTCAAAGCTCAACTGCCATACTGATGAATCTGGACCTGCAATCAAAATAGGCAAGTTGATCTTCAGGATAATCAGTCATGCACAGCTGAGCTCCTCATCAAAGCAACTCGGCCAACACCACAAAACAGAGGAGCCCACAGCACACCTCCAGCTAAACAGTCATCTAGCTTTTGAATAAAAGGGTAGCCCTGGAAAACAAAACTCCAGGATGCTCAGTCTAAATCATCCTTGGGTCAGGGATCCATGGGACAACACCACAGAGGGACTGGAGAGACCAGCTCAACTCGATCAGTGAGCAACCCAGCAGACACCAGCACACAGGAGCATCTGAAGATCACTCGTCCTTTGGGGAGGAAGAGAAGGAAAGAAACTGGAGAACCCAAGGGAAAACACCTCTCAGCAATCCTTCCCTCTTCCCAGGAGACAGTGTTCACAGCATCTCATTCCTGAAGTGTGTAACAGCTCACACAAGTTTCCCTGCTATATGGTAAGACTTGCACATGAAAAAACATCAACTTTCCCCAAATAAGCACAGCTAAGAAAGCCAGCAGAACTCATTGATGATGGACCAACCTTGGAGTTGGTGCTTGTCTACATGGTCCAAGCCCAACCTCATCAAACACTCCTGGTCCAGACAGGCCCCTCTGTTACACCTGAAAGCAGCAGTTCCAGTAATGCAAGAGCTCAGTTAATACCTCTGAGGGCAAGATGAGAGGAGGATAATCTGCAGCCTATAAATAGGACCAATAAACCACAATTACAAACTCTGCTGAGACAACTCATTTATTCAGATGTTCTCATCGTGTTATTCTCAATTGAGCAGTAAATGATGGGACTAACAGGCATTTCCCTGCTAAATGCTGTGTACGAGAAATCACAGCCCCAAACCAGATACTGCTGATGGTACGGGGCCTAGCAGAGGCAAAACCTTCAAACATATCTCTTTCTTGTTTCAGACAGGTTTCAAGCATCAAAATTCCTTTGTCAGGGGAAGATATGGAGAGGAAACAGGCTCTAGGACTGCACCATTTCTTTGTTTTGTGCCTAGGAGAAGCCCAATCTTTCCCCCTAAAGCTGGAGGGTTGACAAGCCAGCCTATACCACCCCCTACCCACTCCTGCTGGGACATTTCCTAACAGTGCTTTTTCTCCTAAAAATCACAGAATCCCAGGCTGGTTTGGGTTGGAAGGGACCTTAAAGCTCATCCAGTTCCACCCCCTGCCACGGGCAGGGACACCTTCCACTAGAGCAGGTTGCTCCAAGCCCCTGTGTCCAACCTGGCCTTGAACACTGCCAGGGATGGGGCAGCCACAGCTTCTCTGGGCACCCTGTGCCAGTGCCTCAGCACCCTCACAAGGAAGAACTTCTGCCTAAGAGCTCATCTCAATCTCCCCTCTGTCAGGTTAGAGCCATTCCCCTTGTCCTGTCCCTACAGACCTTTGTCCAAAGCTCCTCTGCAGAAGGATTAAAAGGGGATGGTGAGTCCCAAGCACACTCAGGAAGGATCTTGAGTATGGTGGCCACCTAAAATTGCTGTCCTTCCAGAGCAGCTTATTTGCAGCAGTAGCTAAGCTATTTCTACCTGATTTTCCCAGTGACCTGAGGGCACAGGAAGATCAGAGAAATGTCATTGCTTAACTAACCCTGAGCCTTGCTTTGCTGTGAGCAAATGGACTCACACAATCAAATTACACACTGTAAGTTTATCAGCATTTCCTCCAAGTGTCTCAAGGATAACAAGTTTAGTGGAAATTATTTAGGAAAAAAAAAAAACAACCAACAAACCAGGACATGGGAGATGAAGAACAAGCTCTTTAATACACCTCTGCTTCCTGTGAAATGGCTTTGCTGAAGGAGGAGATGGATTGCATCTCACCAGTCTTGCAGATAGGACCAAACCAGAATCAAAAGCAAAGTCCTATCCGTGGGACACACTCAGCCCCTGCACAGGGACAGCTCTGATGGGATGTCTCCATGGGTGGGAGTTCATCCCCAGTGAGGTGGTTATCCCCTTCTCCTGCCATTCACTGCAGCTGGACCACATCTGGATGCTGCCTGCAAAGATGTCAAGAGAGACATGGGACAGATCCCATGGAGCCCCCAGGGCCCGGGACATTTCTGAGGACCAAATGAGATTTCTCAGAACCAGGAAACCACCTACAGTCTTTGCAATCTCTTTTTTTTGTCACCAATGAAGGGGAAGGAAAACCCAAACTGTCCTTTTCTAAAACCTAGCTATCTATAGGTGTATGTTTTCATACACACACATATATATATATATATTTTAATTTGGCATAGAAAAAAGGGCCATGAAGCAAGAAATCAACCAAAACCTTACAAAAACTCTGATTTTTGTGCAAAACACTCATGGCATGCAGCAACATCCACTCGCCGCTTCAAACTGACCTTGATCCCCACTTGTGTCTCAAGCCGCTTTGCTTTCCCAGAGAAAGGCCGCAGCACAACTGTGCTGCACGACATGGAAAGCAAGCTGAGAGTGGAGAGCAGGCTTCTCAGGCCCTCACCCCAACACATGGACACCCCTGGCTGGTCTCTGCAACTTCAATCAAAACCATCTCACCAGGAGAATGATTTATGCCATGGCGGTACTGAAAAACTCTGCTCTGCTGATTAGAAATAGGAAAGAGCCAGAACCAAACCAGAGGCATACCAAAAAAAGCCATCCCAGAGCACCATGTTCCACATATGCAACATCCTTGCTCTCCCTGATGCTGCTACACTAAGCAGGGTTTCATTATCACCCTCTTATCTCCCCAAGGTTGCCACCAAGTGCTCCACCAGAAAAGCAGACCGCACCTCTGCTTCTCCTACATCATAAATCACTACTAATTCTCTGACACTGATCATAAACAGGAGGCTCAGCAGAAGGCTGCCAGGCCACACACTGTGCCAGCTACTCCTTGTAGTTGCTAAGAAAAATCAACACACAACTTCTGGAAGCAGCAGGCAAACCAGCAGATCCAGTGGGATGGGCTGGGATTTTCTCACTGAGAGGTCTGAAGGCATTTCAGTGGGTTGTGGGGTTTTCAAGCTGAGTTAAGCCGTTAGGGATTGTCTGGGGAACCTGAGTACTGAATAAAAAGAAAGGAAAACCTCATGGAAAACATGTCCATCGAGCAGTGAGTCACCAGGAGATGTAATGGAGCCATGACAGGGATCCTAATCTACTGCCTTATTAACACATTGATACCCAGCATAGAGCAGGTATCTTCAGTCTTCTGTTGAAGCTCCATCACTGGGGTGTGCAGTTTCTTCATATGTATATAACTGTACTGAGCGAGACCACCATCCTGGTTTCCAGACACTGCTAGGGTGGGCTCCTTGAAAGCCCATTTAATCACCGAATGGCTGAGGTTGGACAGGACATCTGGAGATCCTCCTTGTCTTCTCCAAATGCCCCTGATCAAGCAAGGCCACCTACAGTTGGTTGCTCATGACCATGTCCAGGTGGTTTTTAAACATCTCCAAGGACGGAGACTCCTCAACCTCACTGGGCAACATGTGCCAGTGCTCAGTCACCCTCACAGTGAAAAAACATTTCCTGATGTTCAGAGGGCATCTCCTGTGCTTCAGTTTGCACCTTAATAAGATCCCCTGGAGCTGAACAGTCCCAGCTCCCTCAGCCTTTCCTCACAGGAGAGATGCGCCAGACCCTTCATCATCCTCGTGGTCCATTACTGGACTCTATCCAGTCTGTCCGCGTCTCTCTTGCACTGGTGAGCCTAGGACTGGACCCAGCACTCCAGGGGTGGCCTCACCAGGGCTGAGCCAAGGGGAAAGATCGCTTCCCTTGGTCTGCTTGGAACACTCCTCAAGCAGCCCCGGACACCGTCCACCTTCTGTGCTACGAGGACACGCATTTGGCTCATGTTCAACCTGGTACCCACCAGGACCTCCAAGGCCTTTTCTGCTGACCTGCTTCCCAGCTGGACAGCCCCCCAGCATGTCCTGGTGCCTGAGGCTGATCCTCCCCAGGTGCAGGACTTCGCACTTCCCCGTGTTAAACTTTGTGAGGTTCCCATTTCTCCAGCCTGTTGAGATCCCTCTGGCTAGCAGCATGACTCAATGGTGCGTTACCCACTCCCCAGAGTAGCATTGACCCCTGGGTACACACACCACTGGTTGCTGGCCTTCAATTACTTTGTCCAACAACCACCTCCCTCTTGGCCTGCTCTGTTCAGCCATTTTCCAGCCCACCTCGCTGTCTGCTCATCCAGCCCACACTTCATCAGCTTGTCCATGGGAATCTTAGGGCAGACGGTGCCAAAAGCCCCACTGAAGTCCAAGTAGAACGTCCACTGCTCTCCCCTCCAAGCCCACCTTGTGGTCCCTCCACAAGCAAACAGGATGGAATCAGAGAATCACAGACTGGTTTGGGTTGGAAGGGACCTTCAAAGCTCATCCAGTTGTAATCCCCCTGCAGTGAGCAGGGATTTGAAAATTAAAACCCAACACTGACCACCTTACACCCCAAAATCAAAGACGGGTGTAGGCAGGACAGGAGGGACATTACTTACCCCATGGTCTCATCCCAGTCACACCAGAGCCGTTGCCCAATGCCCTCCATGCTGAGCTGGAACTGCTTCAGGCAGTAGTGCTGGATCATCCAGCTGTAGTCTGCCTCCTGGCACGCTGCCACTGCGATGAAGTGATGGGCTGGAAGACAAGACGAGGAGCAAGATGGGTTAGCCCCTGCCTCCCACCATGCAGTCCCCACACAGCTTTGCACACTGAGGGCGTCTGCCAAAGCAAAGCTGAACATCACCTCACACCCCTCATCAAACAGCTCCCTCAAAACCTCCTTCTGGGGGGGGTATTTCCCTTTCCACATCACTATGACCATGCAACATCATCTGCCGTTACCCTCCCAATTGCTTGACACTACATAAATCAGTTATTGAAAATATGTCATGTAAGTCATAAATAAGTAAGGATGCAGATTTATTCTCTGCTGATCCCATGACATACATATTGAGACTTTAAATTTCCAGGGTTTTCGCTTACAAAAAGAGTAAGATGATGTTAGGGAATAACCCCACAGCTCCCAGTCAGATCCCTGCTGCTGCTGCTGAGCAAAGGACCCCTGAAAAATGAGCTGCATGATGCCACACTTGGAAACAAACATCCATCTCTGGTGGATGTACTTCTTTACAAGTTTGTGCACAACTAGTGCAATGCTGCTAGTGAGTAGAAAGGGAGAAGGGCAGTAATGCTACAAAGGGAAGCAGGCGCAGGCTTGAAGAAAATAAACCTTAGGAGAAATGATTTACTGAGCCTGGCTATAGATAATATCCTGGTCCCAAAGTGCCAGCTAGTGCCTTTGCAGCTCCTGGAGTACATTGTAGGCAGGCATCGCATACCAGCTCTATATTTTGCTACACATAAATAACTTTGTGCAAAATAATGGGGCTTTATTTTTATCTTATTTTTCACCAAAACAAAATTTAGCTATTTATTTAACAGTCTGCATATGAAAGCCATGGGACATCATCCTGCCCCAGGGATGACCTCCTTGAGCAGGCCCTCTGCAGCCCACATATATATTCTAGGAGTGCTTAGGGACCAGCATCCCATGGGAATGGGCAGGAACTCCGTACCCCCTCCAGGATTTGGATGCCAAGGGGTCCCCAGACCCTTGGGTGAGGTTTCTGGATGGCTACAGGACTCCCACGCTGCCTCCCACCATGGCAGCCACTTCAGCCCAGCTCAAAATAAGACAACGTGAGTTACCAAGCCAAGGAAAGGTAGGTGAGGAGCATTAAACCCTCAATGTTGCAATAATAAACATGAAATTATTGTAATTGAAAGCTCTCCCCAACTGATGCCATCCAGGGGCTCACCCTACGGCACCTGCATAATAAGACCTCAGCCAGAGAATCAGAGAATCAGCTAGACTGGAAAACACCTTTAAGATTATCAAATCCAATCACAGACAAGCCCTGCTCTGAAATGGGAAGGTTTGGGATGCTGAAGCAAAGCACTAAGGGAGGAAGAGGAGCAGGAGGAAGAGGAAGTTACAATATGCAATCATTTTACTTGAGAGATGGGCTGCAAACCTCAGTCCAGGCAGGCTCAAGGACAATTGATGGCTGGGAAGCTCTTCTCCTCTTCCCATCCCTTCAAATCTGGATGAATCAAGTGACATGGCTGAGGGAACACCAGCATCTAAGGGAGGTTCAGGTGCCACACCAAGGGGTCACCCCTTAGTGAAGACCATGCACTGGAAGGACAAGTGCCCTTCAAACATTATGCCCATCACACAGCTAAACAGCTTGCAGAGAAACTGCCTCCAGCAAATGTTTTCAGTGGGGAGCAGGAGAAAGCTGCATGAGGGAAGGGGGGGGTGTGTGTGTGAAGGAAAACAGATCACAAACCAGCTAGATGAGTCCCTTCACCTGGTTTCGCTCCTTCCACTCCCAGTTAGCACAGATGGGCCTAGAGACAAGTCATCACTTGTATACCACAAAAACAACTATCCTTGGAGATGCCCAAACATTTCCTGATGACCACACAGCTGCTCCTGCAGAACAGACCAGGAGGAAAACACCTTAACAGGCAGCTCCATCTTGGTTGGAGAGAGGAGAAACACTAAATAAATCATGGGGATGAAAGTAACTGAGAACCACAAACTGGCTGTGATGCCTGCAAAGCCACATGTATCTGGTAGCCAGCATAACAAGAACAGGAAAAAAAAACAACCCAAAACCCAACCCAATCCAAGTGAAAAGAAAACCCCAATGAGCATTAAGCACTTGTCATTCCAGCAAACTCAAAAGACCCTGCTGGGTTGGATGTGCAGGTGTAGGCAGCCAGGAGAGAACCAGCACATGAGCTTTGTCATCCCCAAGCATGCAACTTGTTCCTGACTCTTGTCTCAGCTCTGAAGGTCCTTCCAAGGCCCATCACTGTCTCTTTCCCCCATGGGAAATGTTCTCCAGGAGCTCTGGTTTCCCCATATGAGGACTTGCCTTCTTCAGATGGTGACAGCCAAGGCTTGGCTTGGTAACCCCATGGAGCAGTGGAGAGAGCGTGCTCCTGGAAGATGTCTTTCCCATACCTACACATGGGGTCTGTCTGCAAACCCTCTTCTCTGGAGAAACCAGATCCATCAGCCAGTGACCAAGACATTTCACAAGGACATTAGACTTTTAATACTGTGAAGGACTCTTTTGTTTTATACATTAGAAGGAAAGAGCATCCAAGAGCAAGGCTCCACAGAGCTTTAAACACTGCGAGGACCAAGGTGGGCACAGTGAGCACAGTTCTTGTTTTCAGCTGGCCAGGGAGAACTGGTTTTAGATTTAAATGCACATTTTAAGGTCAAAGAGAGGAGAACCTCCTGCCACATCTTCACACAGTCCCCACTAAGCACACAGATATTCCATGCTGGCTCCTGGACTTTCCCCAAACCCACATTCATCAACACAGCAGGCTGGGATGGGCTCCGGGTTTGTAATAACAGGGGTGGGGGAAAGCAGGGGGAGATTTTTGTATCTATCTCCTGGGTCTCATTCCAGAAGGTTTTCCTTCCCCCCTCAGCCCTGCTGACGGAGATGGTGTAAGTCAGCTGCAGTGAGCTGTAAATAACTGAGGTCTGGAGCAGTCACGTCTCTGTACTTAGCAGCATTCATTTGTGAAGGCCGTAAGGAGCTGCTGAATAACTGAGCTCCAAAACCTGACTATACCAGGGCTGAGCTGCCTCCCAGAGCTCCCTTTTCATGTGCCCTCAGCACTTCCTTTGGAAAAATGGCATCGGGAGCTGCAGGAATGCAGTGGTTCTCTGGGAACATTCCAGTGGAGCCATGCAGTATCCCCAAAGCCCTGTTTGGTTTTTAGGTGCCACCTAGATACAGAGCAGGGGGTCCTGTCCATCTTCCCATGTCTCCTCAGCGTGTGCATCATACAAGTGACACCACCACAATCCATCCTTGCAACATGTGTGCGCACTGCCTTCTGCGTGCAAAGATGTCTTCCGCTGCAAGGAGGCACCATCTGACATGGTGTTCATCTTGCTCAACAACCTACAGTGATGGATGCCCTTCACTGCCAAGAGGAGCACTGATTGCCTGCCAAAAGACATAACCTCAAGGAACCTTAAGTTGCCTTCTCACAGGGAACATCTGGAGAGCAGTGGTGAGGAAGTGATTGGAGAGAAGGCTTTTCCAGGCATCCCAGATTCTCTTGACTGCCCTGGGACTGATGTCCTGGAATGTCCCAGCAAACACCTACCAGAGTTTAGGTAGCTGAAAAACCCCCACATCGCTCATGTATTTCAGCAAAACACCAGTGTTGGTCCTGAGTTGTTACAAAAACCTAAGGAAAATAACTGGACATTTTTCCATTCCACATATTATAGCTGGAGTTTGGGCCAAGAGCTCTGGGCTCACAGCTCCAGAAAACAACCTGGGGGACACCACCTCTTCCTTCTCTTCCCTCCACCGTTGCAGAACCTCTCTTGTTGGACCTCTTCAGGTATATTAATGTAAAACCTCAGAGGTCTCATTAAATCTCAAATGATCAGAGATAATTGCAAAGTGTCAGTCACAGCAGGGCTGGCAATGAGCAAGCCACACGTAGCTAAACCCAAGTACCAGCAAAGCCCTGGGCTCAAAGAACAAACATCTCAATATCTTCTCCTGGGCCTCTCCCAAATGCTGTGTCCCCCTGTGAAATTATTAGCTCTCTCAGCAAACCTGAGATGAACTTTTCCATGCAGTTGTTTCGTGGTTTGGACCCAGTTGCAAAATAAAATCCAACAAGAGCTGGAAATCTGGTGCTCATCTGCTGTGTGTGCTTCAAGCCCTGCCTTTGCTACATCCCCATCCACTGGGATGAAATCCTGCACTGGATTAAACCTGTGAGATTAAACCAGGTAAAGCCCAGACAGACAGACGTGCTGTGTGCTGGCAAACCAGGTACTCAACAGGGAACAATGCTGGGAAGGAGACAGTAGCCTGTGGCTAACCCCAAACTCTGGGAGAGCAGGTTTGAGGTGTGGGGGATTTTGTAGGCACGGCCCTTGGAAAGCCGCTCTGTACATGCGAAGCACGTGTTCTTTAGTCTCAGGACACCTAAATTTGCTTTTCAACCCTTCTCTTCCTGTTAGGACCCACATTTACAAAGAGATCAGCTGAGACAGTCCTCATCAAGTGCGTTTCTCAAGCGGAGTTTCAACCAGGAGAGCCATCATGTCCACTGCTAATTAGTAACACAACGTAATTAAGCTCCAGTTTTCATCTTAAGACAGGTGAGCATCTGATACCCCACAAAGGGGCTTGAGCACCCTTGGGAGCATCCGTGGGTTGTGTCAGAACAAGTCCCCTCCCAGCACCCCAGTGCTCTGCCTGGACTGAAGCACGAAGCCAAGGGAAGGATCAGGCCCAGCCCAAAACGCTTGTGGGAGAATGGGGAAAGGGCATGAAGGCAGAAGATGAGTATGAAAAACATCCCAGTTTGTGGTCAGAAAATGGAAAACTATGGGGGGGGGGGGTTGGGGGGGTGTTGCCCAGCAGATGGTTTTGTGGGGGATGGAGCAAGTGCTTGAAGGTCTAAAAATAAACCCACTGCTCCAAGCAATGCTCACACGTGAATGGCTTGGGCTGGGTTCTGGCTGGTGCCTGCAGACCACTGACATGAGAGCATCACTGACCCAGGGA